TGATAGGCACTCAAAAATATGATAAATGGAGAAATAAGATTAGCTCCACTTTATGTACATTACATTCTTGATCGCATACTTTAATGGTGATGCAGCTGCAGAACTTGCTAATTACAAGCACTGCTTTTGTTTTCAGAGCTTCTGCATAAACCATTGTGTTAACAACTGCAGGCAGTTGCTTCTTTCTGTAAGTTGTCCTAAGAATGTGCTGCAGGTCTGTTCCCAAAATTCAGCATAATCTAAGTTAAAGAACTGCAGTATCTCTCCCCTATCCTTCCTCTTTTTCCCCCTTATGGCCCACGTAGCTGTGGCTAGAGATCACTGTGCTCAATGGTTGAATAAGGTCCTCAATCATTCATCTGCTTTTCTCTGAAAGAGGGAAGAACATTCTGCAGATTCAATCCAGTTCAGCTATTACCTTTCCTCCCTTTCTGACACTTGTTTTACTGCGCATTAGATAATGCCTAGCCTACTGCTGCTAGCAAAATTAGGTCTTCTATTGTTTTAACATTAATTATGGAGAGTTCAAGATAAGGTTTGTGTTAGAAAAGTAGGGGGTGGGAATGGTTGGAATTTGACTTTCATTATAATTAGGCAGGAAATTATGAAAAGGTGAAAAATAATTCACTGAAGTGCTTTTCTCTAGCAAGCTAACAAGAGAGTGCATTCTTGCACAGATGGAGTTCATGGTATATTATTGTAGCACCACTGTTTTAATGTATGCCACTGCTTGGGCACATTGAGCCTGTTGCTATTGCACTTTACAAGTGGGCAGAAATGAGAAGGTTGAGGCCCTCTGGTTCCCTTATGTTCCATTGAGGTCCTGTTCTGTTACAAAAAAATCAGGCTATATTAGTCCACGGCGTAACTCCATGGAAGCCACGTGAATTACAGCAGACATTAATTTGAACCATCAGTCAATTTCTGTGTAACTTGCAAAGAACGTGAAAATATTACTATCGAAACTTGAATTAATTGGGCAGCTGTCTCCCTTTCATTTGTACACTATTGAGATAAACATTTGGACTAAGAAGCTGTCCTCATTATAATTTCCTCACTTGACGCCGCTTTGTGGCTGATGTTTCTGACCAACATAACTTCAATGTTTTCAGAATTTATCTTTACATGCAATTACTATAGTTCAGGCTTTTAAAGGGAGGAAAAGGAGTTCACAGACTTTGCATGGAGCATCTGTGAAGCTGTAAAGACTGACAGCCACCAAAGTTCATCAAGTCAGACTTCTCCATGCAATATAACCATCCCGAAGTGCTCCCTTCATCACTGCCACTTCTCTCTAGCAATGGCTCAAAGGCCAATGAGGAGCATGCAAAACTCACTGTAGCAGACCAGCAAAACTTCAGCAGTGCTTATATATACTGACAGGATGGTCAAGAAAAGGAGGTCCCTGCCATGGTACAACTGCTTTAATCCTTTTCTTCAAGGCTTTTTTTCCCCACCAGTGAGGACTGAAGCCCCATGGTTTGGCACACACATAGAAAAAAGCACATCCCTCTGTCTACAGGCTCCTTTATCTCCCAGAACAGAACAGCTGAACAACTTGTTCTTAAGCTTTTTCAGCTTTACCCCCCTATTCAGTTCTGGTTTGCAGGAAAAACAAGACTTGGGAGAAGACCTTCAAGAGAGTCCATGGCAGAAGACCACTGAAGTTAATGTGGCTTTTGGAGATAAGGATTTTGTCCGTTCAGAGTCATGTAGCTTGAAAAATCATGTAAGGCAGGCTGAGGATGGGAAAGATTCTTTTTTTCTCAGCCTTGTTTGCGGATAAGGAAGTGAGATTCCAAGAGGAATGACTGACTTACCCAAAATCACACAGGAAATCAGCAGAAGATATGAAAATAAATGCTGAGAAGCATTTCAGCGCCTTAATCATAAAGCCATTCTTTTCTCCAAATGCCAAAAACATTAAACATTCCTTTTCAATGGTGGAATAAACATGAGAGTTTCACTGACTCAAGAATGATGTTTTCATCTCAAATTTTTACAGCGTAAGCCATTTCAAGGCAAAATGGTTGGTCAGTATTATGGCCTGTGCCCAACTGCAGGAACCAGGGATGGCAACAAACTGAACAAGTAGATCTGTGCGACTCCACTGACGATCCAGTCACACTAAGGTCGGTAAGCGCAATGTCAAGTAATGGATGTGTTTCATTGTATTTACCACTAATTATGTAGGCCATGAAAAATGTGGACTGAATTACTCTCTTGCTGGGAAGCTATTATACTGTTAGGCAGAGGGGATATCTGGCTTTGAGCAGGAGAGATTCACATCCCTTGTCTACAGACAAATCACTCATCACCTGTCGGTTGGGCCACCTCTGAGCAGTATTTTTGTCACTATGATACCAAGGTAGCTGCCCACCTGAGTGCATTTTGTATCAATACATAACAGCCTGGGCCAAAGTCTGCTTCTGTTTAAATTAGTTAGCTTCAGTTCATTGTGTCTTAATTGAAAATAATGGTGTTACAGCAGTGATCAAAGAATCGTCTCATTTATTGTCTATTGAATCATTAGCTATTAAACAGAAAATAAAAGGCTAAGAATGCAACATTCTGTTCTGCCCAAAAGAATATGAGTATCTCTCCAATTACAAGGAAACAATAAAGGCAGAATTAACAGTGAAATGATCAAAATTAGGTAAATACATCCAAAATGCCTGACAACTCTTATTAGAGGGTTTAGCAGTGTGACCACGACAGAAAAGTCTACACAAATCCAGAAGCAAAGTCAATACTGAGTTTACCAAAGGGGCTTCTAAAGGCAGATACACAATTTTGTGAAAAAAAATATAGGCACATCCAGTATGTACTAAATTTTAACTCAGCTAATTCATCGTTATGAATTCAATCTTGCAACCAGTACCTGTATTTCCAGTTAAAAAATTAAGCACGAATAACACGCAGCCTGGAAGCACCTCTCAGTGGTCTGTGACTGAAATCCATTGTAAGGACACTCAAATTTTCACGAGCATAACATCACACCCATTTAGAGACTGTTTGTATCACCAAGATGGGGTAAGCAGAACTAAATAAAGACCATATTCAAACCTTTTCATTTTCATTAAGTTAGCAAAGTTGGGTACCAGTTCTGGGAAAGCATCCCCAAGGTACTGTCTTCTATCAGTGACTTGATGCCCAAAAAATTGCTCAGAGGAGTGAAACGAAGACTGGACTTGTCCCAGTGTAGTCATCAGAAATAAGTAAATAAAGGATGAGTTGGGGGAAAGTACAATGAAAATCTTATAAGACCAGTGTGGCATTTTGGCCATTGTTTTGGTCTGGTCTCCCCAAATCACTAAAAGAGATGGAAGGACCCTCATCAAGTTGAAGGTGTTTTGGAACAAATCTATTTCCACCTAGAAATACAACTCATTTTTAAAAGCCAGAAAAGATGATGGTCAAAGGGCAAGAGCTTTGCTTTCTTGAAATCCAGGAAATCCAGGAAAGCAACTGGCAATCATGTCTCCGCTCAAAGGGACCACGTCAAGCTTTAAGTAGTTGCCAGCTTCAGTGGACCTTTTAAATTCAGGAACCAGAACAACTTCATAGCCAGCTTTGACAGGACATCCATACGGTCAACTGCTGATTGAACTAAATGGACTTTAAACAAGCAGCGCTTTGAAATAATGGAAGGGGAGTTCTTTCCCTCATCTTTTTGTATCTGGTTCTGTCCCATATTTTCTAATAGTGAGTCCTAGAAATCCAATAAACTCAACAGAAATAGAAGTCCACACATCATCTTTTATATCATTTTATCGTTTTATCTTATATATCGTTTTCTGAAGTGCAAAGAGGAGAAGCCTGAGCAATATGTTGATGATATATAACTTGGTGCCTGCGTTTATAACACGAACACTTCATTGTCAACTGATAAATAATAGCCACAATTAGAGACAACTAGCTGCATAGGACACAGCAAAAAAAAAAAGAACAGCAAAATGTATCAAAATAAATTGTTCCTTTGAGAATTAAGTCAGTTATAAACAAAGACAGTCATTTACATTCTTTTTGGTAAGAGCTTTCATGGAAATTTGGTTACTAGAAAAACAAAATGTGATTTTTCTTTCCCCATCCAACATACAGTGAGAGCTCAGGATAGAGATTTGAGAAGCTGAAGGTAAACATCACTTTCATGAAGAGTCACTTTCATAACAAAGGAGTATTACACTGATTTCCTCTGCAGAATGCTTTGAGGTTTGGAAAGTGCCAGACATCACACTCTGAGGATCCAACTGCACATATGCCTTTTCTCACTAACTTCATTCTTAATTATGAATAATTTGCCTTTGTGATAAATAGACATAAACGTACATGAAAAAGGTTGAAAGAAAGTAGAGTTAGCCTGACTGAGGCTTTTGCCCAAACCCACAGCATCTTTCCTAGGGCTACTTAGGATCAAGTGAATGCCATCTCTCATGTGAGAGTCTCCAAAACAGGACAGCCCTGTAAGCAGTTTAACTGCATAGGAATTTCTTTCTTGTTGGAATTAAAATGCAATTTAAATGTTGTTTGTTTGTCTTAGAGGATATCATTTCTTCCCAGTATTGGTAATGAGCTCATTCGGTGTGTCAAAAATAGGAATTGTATTTAATAATGGATGCAGAAAACCCACACAAGAATAAAGATTCCTGCACAACAAACTGACTTTTCCCAAGAGGGATGTATCAGACAACACATTCTTTCTTGCTAGCTCTGGCTGTCCAGCAGCAAAGACCAGAAACACGCTTTCAGCATCCCTCACCCTCTCTCACACCTTATGGAAAGCACCAGCACAAATGGCTCCATGTCAGTCTACAGAAATGTGCTAACCCTGCATAACCTCTGGAGTCCTTATTGCACAGTGGAAGCCACCCACAAGTGGCTATGACTGTAAAAACCATGCAGAATCCCAAATGTGGGCTAGGTCCCGGTATACTGGTGGTGGAGAAGGCAACAGAAAAAACTTGCAATTCCCTCGTGCTCATCTCACGTGGGCACCTTACCTTTATGACGTCTTCATCAGCTGATTTGCACTCAGTGGACTCTGACACATCGACCACCGACCCATCCTCCTGCACCGCAACAACCTTGACTGGAACTGACACCGTTTTGCCCGTCAGGATGGCCGTGTTAAGGACTTCTGTGTCCTGTATGCACACACACACAATTATGGGACAGGCATTAGAGAAGCAAAAGGCACAGAACACTGCAGAGGTCAGACCACAGAACCAAAACCTTCTTTCGGACAGAAAGGGGAGTGACACTTCCTTGCACACAGCCTGTGAGCTCCCTGCAATCAACGCTGTCACAATTTTCCAGGCCAAGATTTGTGTCTGGACCACCAAGTTCTGGTCTGACAGACATACAGATTTACTCTTTCTGAGCCCATTTACAGGTTTGGCTGTTATGGAAATGAAATCCATAATGCAACCATGCGCGAAGGCACATCTGTGGGTTGGCAGAACCTCAGCATGTTTCAAGCACCATCTCCAGGGGTGTCAGCGGCTCAGCCCACCCTTATGTCCCAAATCATGCCCTGGGTATAGGAGGCAATTGCCAAGCACTACAGCAACAGTATTTCTTTCATGCTGGTTCAGCCAACAGTTGAGCCAGTTGTCCCTTTTCTGGACATAAATATATGATTAGAAAAACCACGCATGAGGCATGCTATTACCAACTAAGCCGTGTCACATACAATTTTTCTAATCTTTCCCCATCAAAATCCCACCTGGAGATGTTTTACCACATTTCTCTCTAATCCTGACGAATTCACAGCACTGGCACTTTAATGACTGCATTAACACAGCCTTCCTCAGCATCTCAGTGTGGCTGCAGTTTGATTAATTGTGCCAAGTGAGTTGCCCAGAGGACCCTGCCTTGCGTAAGCAGAGCAGACGGGAGGGGAACAGCTCTGATGGAGGCCTGCAGAGGAACACGTCTCTTCTTAAGCACTGCTCACTGCAGGCCCAAAGCTTCACGCCACCTCTGCATCCGTAGAGATTCAGCTCAGCCTTCTAGAAAAGCCTTCAAGAGGAAATACTGCTTTAAATCCATCTGCTGCTCATTTTTCAAATTCCATAAAACTAATTGCTTGCCAGTTGGGGGGAAAAAAAAACGTTGCTTCCAACTAATCTAACTTTAAATTCCATTATTTGAATTGGTGGAAGAATAAACAGATTTTAGTGGAAAATCTGATGGCAACTTGCATAGGAAAATATATTCACTATCATTTACTTCTGTCTGCTAGCTAGATTGATAGAAAATAATGGGCATTGACCACCAGCTAAGGACAGCTGGAGAAGTCCAATAAATACTTGCAACTAAGATATATTATTAATCAATATTCGGAAAGTTCTACAAAAAGCACCCTGAATTAAATGAGTAGAAGTACTAATAATGCTGGTGCCAGCTAACTAATGTAGTCTAGTAGAGCTTTATGGGCAGTCATGTTCCAGAAAGGCACTTAAACGTGTACTCCAGTCCATTTCTGTTCAAAACAGCACTAAAAGTATGTGGCTCAACTTGACACTTAGACTTCTCTGTGATTTAAGCACATGTGTAAGTGCTGTCCTGAATAGAGATGCTTTTCTGAATTACACCTCATGAAATAAATACAATCCTCTTTGTCCTGCTCTCTGCCAGGCACCGGCCAGATGTTTCACACAGTAAATGACTGGGTTTTGTTTATGCTGAATGGGATCATTTATCACCAGCTGCCACCCATGACAGAGGGACACCAGCAAACAGAGATGTGAAAGAATAAAAGTGTGAAAGAACAAGTGGAGAACCTTTAGAAAGACTGAGGCTCCAACAAAACTAAGAAAATTCACTGCTCTGTGAGAACAGTTAGCTGCAGCACGGGTGGAAAGGGGTTGTGTAAACCAGGTGAAGATGAGCGGAGGATGCTTGACGCGCAAATATATCAGAGGTGGGCAGATGGCACCAAACCAATGGCAAATATGTCTCCACCATTAATTTGATATAAATGTGCTGAATACGTGATGTGGACATGGTGTTTTTGCATCCTGGTTAGCAGGATGCTTCTAAGGCGCTCCTCAACAACCGCCTTCAGTGCATCAGGAGAAGCAGTATTCTTGCCAAGGTCACGGACAGTGCACATGTGCCTAATTGTGCTTCCAAACCCCCTATTCTTAGCACAGCTCCATAGCTCCTACGTGTCAGGGGCAGGCAGCACTCACAGTCCAATCCAAAGCCCTACTGAACAACAGATGAAAGATTTCTTCTGACTTCAGTGGACTTGGAATCAGGTTCTCAGCAGAGCTAGCTGCTTTGCTTCTGCACCGTTTGTTGTATCACCCAACTGCTGACTGTCCATGGGACGACAGCCAAACAACCTCTAGTCTCCTATTAACTAGTAAGAGCTGCTCAGTTTCCAAGCTGAAGTCACACTTGGATGTTCTGAAGGATAATGCAGAAAGATTTACATTCTTCTGTGAACTCAGTGTGAGAGAAAAGGGCTCAGAAGTGACACGTTGCCACTCCTCCGTTGGTAGGTGCACTGCAATATGCTCACCTCTCTCTTGACACAGCACTGTCCCGAACCTCCCTTCCATCCCAGTAAGTGCAGATACCTATCCACAGTGCTAATTAGCTGGTGCTGCTTCACAGAGCTGCACTTCACTCGTAAGCAATTCTACCACAGAAATCAATGTTTCAGGTGCCTGATGCCTGCATCGGGTGTTACAATAGCATAATAGGCCATGTAAAGACCTTTTTAAGAGCTGGCTATTTATAGACTGACAAAACGTGCTTCCTCTGAGGAAGAAATATGAAGGCAGAACTGAACTAATTGACTGTTAGATTTATAAGCAGACCTCTTTTTTCTTTTTTCTTTTTATTTGCATCTTCAGTAGATTCTGTTAGGTTTTTCTTCTATTTCCACAGCAAGGTTTTCTGCAGAAAGGACTGTCACTGCGTGTAAAACACTCTGCTGGTTACTGTCAACATTAGTGAGCTGTAGAGAGAGGTAATAACACTGGTTTACATGGGCAGGTCCCACAGCATCCCCAGACATCTGGAGCACCACCCAGGGACCAGTGCCAGCCTCTCACCTCCAACTCCCTGCAGCTTCCAGGTGAAAGATGGAGTCCTTTCCTACTTCCTCTGCCATGGGTTTATGATGGGATCTTGACCAAGATCTGGAATTTAAGCAGCTGGGGCAGAAACTAGACATTCGCGTTGCAGCACTATCCTTGAATAACAATTATGTGTGTGTTTATCTCCATTCCTTCTCTGTACCTGAATGCATTAGTACTTCAGCAGAACTCTTCTTAATTACAACTGTAACCTGCTAATAGCGTTTCTTTGTTGTCTGAAGGAATCTACTTCTTATCCAGCCTAGGCTAAATTAAAATTTAATACAACATCAGGTCGCAACAGAACTAGGAAGCAAATGACAGCTGTTTAATTAAAACCTAAAGCTGATTAGATGGCACTACTGAGAGAAATACTCAAGAGGAAGAGTAGAAAACTACTGAAACTCAAGGCCAGGATAATGGCTTTATTTAAATATAAATAAACCCTGCACACAGCCTTGGTAAACGTTTGACAACTCATTGCTTTGGACAAATAGGGGAGAAATGTGAATGGGAGAGGCATCAAGAGCCACAGCAGGCTGTTACTGGGGATGTCACCAGGAGTAGGGATCCCTGAGGAACTCCAGGCACTGAGGTCTAATATTTAGGCTTTAAACAACGCCACACTGACCTAAATCCTCACCAGCTCACTCACCCAACCAGTGCAAGCCAAGAAGATAGTGATGTATCACACAAGGAACCATCTCTGGGGCCTTATTACTCAAACCCCAGCCTAGGACCACCAGCACACCTTTCCTGCCCTTCTCCTTTCCACAGAAACCCTGCACTGACCCAATGTACTGTAACAGACATCATCCTAGTGATTAATATACAAGCTGGATGTGCTTTTTCAGAGGTTAACCAAACACGCTACAGTACAGCAAACCCAATAAACACTCAATTGTAAATCAGGAGGGAAACCTAAAGCCAACCCTATTCCACTGACAAATGTTACAGCTAAATGCCTTTTGGCATTTAGTTGAAATGACTGTCTTTAGTGAGGAAGGCATAGACCCGAAACATTTGTCTGCAGAATTGCATTGCTTCGTTATTATTTTTTCCCCAGAGTGTACCTCATAAAAATTCATTTGTAACATCGGAAAGAATCTTTAGGAACCAGTTCTCCTGCCTGGAAATGGCATCTCTTAGAAAATGGAAATTATAGGGCAGGTTGTGATGTGTGGGCCGGGCCAGGAGATTTTTTTAATATTTGATAAATTATTCAGCACCTTTTTCTTCAGATCAAAGAGCAAGGCAGTATAAGCCCATTAAGCAAGCTTAATATATAAATTAGATGCTTTGCTGAAATTATTATAATCCAAAGCAATTCTGTACTTTTTGCTCTCATAGCTGACTACTGTTTTAGATTTCCAATACATATTAATGAAGTCAGGTTGCTGGAAAGCTATTTCTGTGTACCACCATTAGATCAGGTAAGATTTACCATTTTGCAACCCACTGGTGAGAACAAACAACTAAGATTGTGTTTATTAAACGCATAAACAATCTTTGCAAAGAGCTCACATTGTTCTTTAACATTTTTCCTCCCTACTTTTACACAGCCAGTCCACATCACACATGGAACCAGGCCCACAGCAATGCAGGTGGTTTTGGTGGTCGGTGCTGCTGAATGTCCTCAATGAAGAGCTGAACAGTGCTAATTTCTCATCCTGCAAATTTCACTTGTGGATTCACCTGCAAAATCACCCGCTTGCCAGCTTTTCAGGCGTCACAGCTACACACAAGTCCTTCAATGGGCCGATGGCTGACTAGATGATCTTAGTGGTCTTTCCAACCTCAATGACTATGATCCTGTGATTCCACCCCACCAAGCCACACCTGCTGCTTGAAGCTCATCCCCATTCCCCTCCAACTCCCTGTCTCCAGCTGTTCCCTCATTTCAGCTTTTATCCAGTATATTGCTATCAGGAGTCATCAGTTATGGCAGATGGTAAATCACAAATGCTGCTGTCAGAGTTAAAGGTCATCCTTTACCTCCTTTTGTTTACCTGCAAAATAGCTTTACTTCATATTGGGATCCCCAAGGAAGA